CGTGCATAGAACTTGTTGAGGGCATCAGGCAGAGATGGGTCTTTGGGACATTGTTCGCTCCTTCCTTTATAATCTGTTATGCACTTAATGCCCCTCCACATGCTCCGAGGGTCTTGTGAAATGAATTGACCCTCGATCCTCTTTGCATATGCGGCCTTGGCCCTCTTAATACCAGCAACCAGCTCTTTTCTTGTCCTACTCAGCTCCTCTGAGTTTCCAGACCTGAAGGCAGTGTTCCTGGCTTCCAGCAGAGTACGCACCTCTGCATTCAGCCAAGGTTTTCTGTTTGGGTAGCTTTTAACATTTCTGATAGTGGAGACTGTGTCAGTACATGTACTAATGTAACCCAATACTGAGGATGTGTATTGGTCAAGATCAAGCGAACCTCCATTTTCAGCAGCTTCTCTGAAAACCTGCCAGTCTGTTCGATCAAAACAATCTCTCAGTATGGGTCCACTGTCCTGGCTCCAACATTTAACTTTCTTTTGTACCGGTCTGGAGCGTCTCAGCGGGGGCATGTAAGCAGGAGCCAGGAAGATTGAGATGTGGTCTGACAGTCCTAGGTGGGGGCGGGGTTCGGCTTTGTATGCATCTTTTACGTTCGTGTAAACACGGTCCAGCGTGCGGTCTCCACGTGTCGGAATCGTCACATGCTGATTAAAGCTTGGGAGACAGTCCTTTAGAGATTCACGTGGTTAAAGTCTCCGGCTACAACGTAAAGAGCCTCAGGGTGTTTGTTCTGCAGCGAGCTGATGATATCATGAAGCTCCTGTAGTGTTTCATTAGCATTAGCGTCCGGAGGAATGTTAACAACTGTGATAAAAGTCACTGTGAACTCTCGGGGTAGATAATGTGGCCGACATTTCACTGTTATTTGCTCCAAAGCCTTCGAGCATGAGCTATTTACAACAGTACAGTTCGTGGACCAACTTTTACTCACGTAAATGCACACTCCGCCCCCCCGTGATTTCCCCGTTAGCTCGCTGCAGCGGTCCGCTCGAAAAAAAAGTCTGTCATCCAGCTGGAAGACAGAGTCCGGCGTCCAGAGTCCAGATGACCTGACTTAACTTTTTTAATCATATAAGGGAATAATAAATTGCTTCAGAGAGATAAAATAAAGTCAGAAACAGGAACAGAACCCATAAAGGATATCTCCACCATAATAATCATCTTTGGCTTCTGTTTGACCAACTCAGCGAGGATGCCTCCATCACCCCCTCCTAAGATCAGCACCTCTTTCCCTGCATAATTCTCTTTTCCGTTACCTGTGATGGCTCGGGTGTAGGTAATGTCACTTTCTGCCAAGTCTGCAAAACAACAATTGATTACACGATGGTTAGCGTTGCTCTTAAAGCATTATATTACACAGGGTAGAGAAAGAGGAGCTACACACGTTATCAAAGAGACCAAAGTCCATGCTCTATAGTCCAGGTATAAATCCAACAATGTTCAGTCAGGTCATCTGGATGGTTTCTTTCATTTCAGCAACAAAAGAAACCATCCAGATGACCTGACTGAACGTTGCTGGATTTATACCTGGACTATTGAGCATGGACTTTGGTGTTTTGAACCACTTTGGCATGGTCTGCCTTAGAGGAGTTGATGGGGCAGAGGGCGGGCTCCAGAGGCCATCTTATCACCAGCAAACTGCTTTTTCCCCACTCTGGGAGTGAGCTGTTTGTGGGATTCAGTCTGGGTTGGTGGGCTCCTCAGACTGACGAAGTTCTTCGGATGAAGGACGAAACGTCTCAGCAACAAAAAAAAAAACGTCCAGATGACCCGACTGAACATCGTGTTGTCAAATAGAGTTAACCTCTAGTAGTCAACGTTGAAATTGAACGTTTGTGGACTTATTTTGATTTTACATTAATATTTCAGCCTAAAAATGGTTTAACCTGCCATGTTTGATTTTTATACTTTTGACATACTGTATCAACACCATGTACCTAAAATCACACGAAAACACAAAATCAGAGTAGAAAAACAATGTCTATTTATTTTTACTGAGAAAACCACAACTATTTATAATGAGTAGTTTTTACTACTAAAAATGCAAACACTAAACATGACCCGTTCTGTAATTTCCATCCATCCATTATCTTTTACCCGCTTCTTCCATTTTGGGTCACGGGGGTCGCTGGTGCCCATGTCCAGCAATCACTGTGCAAGGGGCGGGGGACACCCTGGACAGGTCTCCAGTCCATCACAGGGACATAAAGAGACAAACGAGACAAACAACCATTCAGTCTCTCACTCACACCTAGGGACAATTTAGAGTTACCATTCAGCCTAACATGCATGTTTGTGGTCTGTGGGAGGAAACCAGAGTACCTGGAGAAAACGCACGCATGCACGGAGAGAACAAGCAAACTCCACCCAGAAAAGCTCCTGGACCGGGATTTGAACCGGCAGCCTTCTTGCTAAGAGGCAGCAGCTCTACCAGTTGTGCCACTGTGCTGCTGTCCTGTAATTTCAGTCAGATTTTTTTTTTACTTTTATTTAAACAGGTAGTCTCATCAGTGCACATCTCTCTTGTGGGGGTGGGTCCTCGTAACTCAATGAGACTACCTCACTGGTTCATTGTGGTTGACTGTTGGTCACATGGCCTCAGGGAGGGATTATGGGTAAACTTTATGTTCATTGTTAATCATTTTAGTTTGCTGTTTAGCATTGTTTTTTAATGATTAGTTTGCTCTTCTTAGCTTAGTTTATGTTCATTATGTGTTAGTTTGTGTTAGGCCATTTAGTAGAATAACCATGAGTGAGAGAGGTAGTTATCATGATGTCGTGTGTGTGATTCACTCTGTTTGTGATGAAAAGCAAAATAAAGTCTGTTAAACTATATTAATAGCTTATTTTAAGACTTGAAACTCCTCTTGCATTTGTAACATTTTTTGTTTTGCCGTTTCCTCAAATTGTTAATTTTTTTCCTTTATTTTCTTTCTATTCGCAATTTCTGCTTAGTTTTTATCACGTCAAATGTGAACTTGTTTTTTTTTTTGTTGTTGTTGTATGCCTTGTTATATTACTTCTGTTTTTTTTCCAATAAAGACAAAAAAAAGTGTGAAACACCATCTAGTGGTTGAATCTTGATCTACAACTAGAGCTGCTCATTTCTCTCAGGGTGCATTCACACCAGCCCTGTTTAGTCCGCTTTAATCGAACTCTAGCTCGTTTTCCTAGAAAGTCCGGTTCGTTTAGGGAGGTGTGAACGCGCCATCGAACTCTGTCACGGAACAAAAAGGCAAACTCTGGCCCGGGCTAAAACCTAGGTCTCGGTCTGGTAGAAGCGAACTCCAGCGCGGTTCGAGTACAGTGTGAATGTAAACAGACCGGGCCCCGCTCTGCAGGGTAAACAAACACGCATTTCTCTGACCTTATATGGAGCCGTCAGCTGCCTTGTGTGGAAAAACAATATTCTCCATGGTCTTCTGTCTCATCTTCTGCTCATGCTGAGTCCATTTTTGAAAAATGACAAAATATAACTCCTAAAACTGCTAAAACTTGATGCTACTTCGTTTTTATTTTTATTTACAGAAGAAGAAGACGTGTCTTCAGAGGTTTTTGTGTCGTTTCTTTCAGTAGTTCTTGGTGCAGCGCCCCCTCAGGCGAGTGGGGGAATAGGTTGGTTCAACAGGTTGACTCGACTGCACAGTGCAGTGTGAATGCAAACGCACCAGCTCAAATGTAAACAAAAGGTCATGAATATTGGTCCCGAACCGAGTCTACTGGACTATCTGGTGTGAAAATGACCTCAGAAGCTTTGTGCTGCCAATCGTCATAACGTGAACACCCGCGGCTTATACACAGTCGGGGTTTATATATGTACAAAACGCTTTTATTTTATTTTGTGTGTGCAGCTTATATTCAGTGCGCTCTATAGAGTGGCAATTACGGTATTACTTAACCCAAACAAACTAATTTTGTGTTCACTGTTGTGTTTTAAACACTTACTAATATCTCCATCGAGCACTAGGATATTTCCATACTGCTTCGAGTGCAATATCTTTATGTTTTGGTATGCAGACTCTTCTTCGTACACCACCTCGTCAATGTCATACTCCACCAATCTCCCATCGGCTGTGGGCCAGTATCTGTCCACCTTTGCTCCTCGCACCAGAGCTGGGAGCCTCGAGAGAAAACAGTTGAAGAATACGGTTACTAAATATTATTTCTGCATGCAAGCTTGATGAAATGCAGTGGTTGAATATAAAAATAAGCAAACTTTAAAATCTTACTTTTTAATCCTTGCAATATTGCCATTTAGAAGAACTTTCAGTTTCTTTTCCAGTGCGTTTAAAAGCTGAGAAGAAAGGAACAAAATGTACACGGCATAACATTTGCATTTTGCCAAAAAATGCAATTCTGTCAAATTTACTGAATGCTTTGGCTTTTACGTAGCAAGTAAAAGTACTGCTTGAGTTTAGATCACATACATTGTCAAGCTGTGAGATGTTATCGTCTTCATAACACTGTAGGTCGATGGTGACTAACCCATGGGAGTGCACACGCAGAATGACGAGCCTGGGGAATAAAAATGGGAACATTAAACATGATGAAAATCTGTGGAGAAATAATTCATGTTCAGGTCAAAGTCTGCCTAACGCATGACACATCTACTCTGTCACCTGTCAAAAGACATGAAATGAAGTGAAATAAAATTAAATGGTTGGAAACACCACATTTGGAACACAGACTGTCTGATAAACACCAGTGTGAACAGAATTAACCTACATATTCACTGAATATAGCTAAATACATTTCATCAATAACTAATCATCTTTCTGTAATGCTGAGTACATGGAGAGGCAAAGTACTGCAAAAGTTGTAAAAAAAAAAATTATATTTCTGCAGAGAAAGGATACATTCATAAAAATAAAATCTTTCAGCATATTGAGTTAAACAGTACCTAAGCCTACATTCAGAAAATATCTGACGTAAAAAAAACATATCTGAAAATCTGTGTTTCAGACATCATTTTAATCCTTCTGCATTTGATCTAAACAATCCACAAATGTTACTTATAAAATATTTGAAAATAGGACTCCTATATTTAACTGAGCAATCGTAAAACTATTTAGAACAAAAGAACTGCATGTTCTGCGCCTGTTGACAAACTATTACACAGCAATCTGTAGAAAAGGTCAAGACAAGAGAAGACCTTGTTCTAACACTTGACCTTGATTTGTGACCTTGAAGCTGGCGTGATGGATGTGCGTTTGTAACCCTCTGCCTAGTGATGATGCATTTGTGTATGAAGTTATACTAAATTATCAGATGTTATGGGTGGAGACTATATCATATTACAAACCAGATTCCAAAAAAGTTGGGACACTAAACAAATTGTGAATAAAAACTGA